TTCAGATATTGTATGTTTTGAAAATTCACAACATATTGTACATTTTGCTAAATTTGTAACATATTATACGAATTGTAATTCGTAACATATCATACGAATTGGGTGATAGAAATCCACAAATTAATACATACCATACGAAACATAACATATCATATTAAATGGAGTGTCTTGGATTTAAGTACAGAATAATACAATATGCTCTGAGACCAGGTTGGGCAAACACAGCCTACATCAGCTGGTGAGCTGCAGGGTATCAAGAGATGAGTGTTGGCAGACCAGCAGACAGGCTCCGTATTGTGCTGGTGACGCTCTTGCTTCACCTTAGCTAACCAGTCACCACCAGCCTTCTAGTTAACTACCATTTGCCTGGTTAAGAAACACAAGCTACTTTACAAAATTAAAAACAATAGCAGCATTGATAGTAGATTAATAGTAAACAAACAGTCTAGCTATGTTTCTCTCCCTTGAGTAGGCTATAGAAAAGTAGGCTGTCTTTGAATTTGTAGTCTCGCTCAACCCTTCCACTTTTCCCACTGCATTTTATATACAGGTTCTGTAGCCAAGTCTCCTTTTTCCTCAGAGAAAACTGCTTGATTGTAGTTCAAAAGACATTACCCATAATACCAGCTCTACGTTTTTTTCTTTCTATCATACATTGGCGGGACGCATTCTACATTCATAAAGCACATCATGGGCTGTTATAAAACTAGGCTACTTGCGGACCGGACCGTTAACCATTTGTTTAGGTTACACCTTGTTCAGTCATGTTGCCTCATTAACTAGCTATAGCTAACAACCTAGGGCGCGTTCAGCAAGACGCAACATTTTGGAACGTTCAGATAGAAATATGCTATGTAGAACAAACATGCCTCTGACATGTTGAATAAGGAATAACGTCGGCTCTATTCATGTAATTTCTATCTGCTACATTCAAGAAAGTTTTTCAAATGAACGTGGCCCTGGTAACATTACCAGTAGCCTACATGAAAACATTTGGTGGCACAGAAAGAAAGGAAAAGGAATTGCAAACAATTTATTGACTAAATTCCTCTTGCCACTACACTATATCTGACTGGGTAAATCACTTTATTTTGAGTTAATGTAGACCCTAGTGACTCAGACTTGAGGAGTTGGACCAGCACTTGAGCACTGGGACTCAGACTTTAGCCATAGGGACTTGTAACTCGAACATTGGGGAATCGGACATGGACTCTGACTCGAGCACAGGGGACTTGGGACTCAATTCGGACTTGAGGTTTAACTACATCACTGGGTGAAACAGTCATTAGCTCCCGTTCTACTTCTGGACATCAATGAGGCTTCGGCGTCTGTGGAATGTTGATAACAATGGCAATGACGCAACCGATACTACTTTGCCAATACTTTGTTGCACCATCTGCCGATTGTGCTTCTCTCTCGCTCTCTGCTTGTGTATGTCTGTTTGTTTTTTATGTAATGTGCAGTATTCATGTAGGCTGAATTAGAAATTTACATTGCCAGATAATTGTTATATAATATAATATTATTCTTATATACACTGAGTATATTATGTTTACTATAGGTTAATGAGGCAATACAAATGTGTTGTGACTAAAATGGACCACTTTTTTTGTAATAACTAGACTAAATCATTATTCAAATGAGAAAAATGTGACTAATACAATTATATTTGAGTCAAAATGACTATACTACATCTAAAAAAAGAGTTCCAAAATGAACACTGCTGTGATGTTCATGATTGGTACAGATTTTGTCCGGTCAGGACCAACCAAATTTGGTCTTGTTTGGGGGCAGAGCTCATTAGAACAATAGCCAGTGTGTAGGATAATACCCAAACATGCAAAGGAGGATATTACATTTTTCTACCTTTGTGTACATCTTCAGGATAACATGAAGAGAATGGCATTCATAATTATGCATTTCTTTATAGTACAGATCAGGGATCCATGATGTCATTCTGTTACCATCATTCTATTACCGGGTGTTAATCCACTTCACTTACTGTAGTTCAATAATCCAAGGAGATTTTTCAAACTCAAGGTGTCATATCATAGCTGACACCCCATTCTTTCTGCAGACATCTTTGAATCTTAATTCAGAATAGATATTTACAAATTTTAGAAAATGTGGTCACAAAAAACTGGGGGAGATTTTACCGTAATTCTGTCACCAAACTTTACATCTGCACTGTTCTTTGAGTAAATGTTGTTTTTGTAGTCCTTGTGCATAGAGTTATATTGTTTGTTTGACTTTGCAATGAATGGTTTTTGTTTGGCATACTTTTAAAGGGAAAATTCGGAGTCTCTGTTAACGTGGAATTGCCCCTATCCAAATAGGGTGAGTGTCTTTGGTATCTCTGAGAATACGCGGAACACCTGTGAGTTTACAGAAGTTCTACCTCCAATCACTTATAAGGCTGAATAATTTGTCACTACATACAGTTGAAGTCGGAAGTTTACATACACCTTAGCCAAATACATTTAAACTCAGTTTTTCACAATTCCTGACATTTAATCCTAGTAAGAATTCCCTGTCTTAGGTCAGTTAGGTCACCACTTTATTTTAAGAATGTGAAATGTCAGAATAATAGTATGATTAGTAATAGCTGAAATAAATAATAGTAATGATTTATTTCAGCTTTTATTTCTTTCATCACATTCCCAGTGGGTCAGAAGTTTACATACACTCAATTAGTATTTGGTAGCATTGCCTTTAAATTGTTTAACTTGGGTCAAACGTTTCGGGTAGCCTTCCACAAGCTTCCCACAATAAGTTGGGTGAATTTTGGCCCATTCCTCCTGACAGAGCTGGTGTAACTGAGTCAGGTTTGTAGGCCTCCTTGCTCGCACATGCTTTTTCAGTTCTGCCTACAAATGTTCTATAGGATTGAGGTCAGGGCTTTGTGATGGCCACTCCAATACCTTGACTTTGTTGTCCTTAAGCCATTTTGCCACTACTTTGGAAGTATGCTTGGGGTCATTGTCCATTTGGAAGACCCATTTGCGACCAAGCTTTAACTTCCTGACTGATGTCTTGAGATGTTGCTTCAATATATCCACATAACTTTCCTTCCTCATGATGCCATCTATTTTGTGAAGTGCACCAGTCCCTCCTGCAGCAAAGCACCCCCACAGCATGATGCTGCCACCCCCGTGCTTCACGGTTGGGATGGTGTTCTTCGGCTTGCAAGGTCCCCGCTTTTTTTTCCAAAAAAACATTACGATTGTCATTATGGCCAAACAGTTCTATTTTTGTTTCATCAGACCAGAGGACATTTCTCCAAAAAGTACGATCTTTGTCCCCATGTGCAGTTGCAAACCGTAGTCTGGCTTTTTTATGGCGGTTTTGGAGCAGTTGCTTCTTCCTTGTTGAGCGGCCTTTCAGGTTATGTCGCTATAGGACTCGTTTTACTGTGGATATTGTCACGGATGCCGCCGAGGCTGCTCCTCCTTCTTGCTCGGGCAGGCTTCGGCGTTCGTCGTCCCCGGAGTACTAGCTACTACCGTTTGATGTTTTCGATGTTTGTTTTGTCATGTCTAGTTAGTGCACCTGTTTCGTATTTTGTATTGATTATGTCACCTATAAGTTCCCCTATGTTATGTTTGTATCTTGTGTGTTATTGTTCCACCTGTCGTGTTTAGATAGGTTCGGTGCCTTGGCTCTACTTTGTTGTTTACGCACTCCGCGTATTTTGACTCTTCGTGTTTTACGCACTGCGCGTAATTGTTCGCCTCCAGTGTTCTGAGGCCGTTTATTTTGTATTCTATTTTCAAGTGATAGTAAAGTCGTTTTGACTTATCCTCTGTGTCCTGCGCTTGACTCTACCACCGCATCCACATCAGCACACTCTGACAGATATAGATAATTGTGTACCTGTTTCCTCCAGCATCTTCACAAGGTCCTTTGCTGTTGTTCTGGGATTGATTTGCACTTTTCGCACCAAAGTACGTTCATCTCTAGGAGACAGAACGCATCTCCTTCCTGAGCGGTATGACGGCTGCGTGGTCCCATGGTGTTTATACTTGCGTACTATTGTTTGTACAGATGAACGTGGTACCTTCAGGCGTTTGGAAATTGCTCCCAAGGATGAACCAGACTTGTGGAGGTCTACAATTTTTTTTCTGAGGTCTTGGCTGATTTCTTTTGATTTTCCCATGATGTCAAGCAAAAAGGCACTGAGTTTGAAGGTAGGCCTTGAAATACATCCACAGGTACACCTCCAATTGACTCAAATGATGTCAAATAGCCTATCAGACATTTCTAAAGCTATGACATCATTTTCTGGAATTTTCCAAGCTGTTTAAAGGCACAGTCAATTTAGTGTATGTAAACTTCTGACCCACTGGAATTGTGATACAGTGAATTATAAGTGAAATAATCTGTCTGTAAACAATTGTTGGAAAAATGTCATGCACAAAGTAGATGTCCTAACCGACTTGCCAAAACTATAGTTTGTTAACCAGAAATTTGTGGAGTGGTTGAAAAACACGTTTTAATGACTCCAACCTAAGTGTATGTAAACTTCCGACTTCAACTGTACTTTCAATATGTACCAATCACTGTGCACCAATCAGGCAATCATTAACCAATGAAATTCATAGTATAATTTACATTGACTAATTTCTGCCTACTCTTTGCTGTTTGGCAATTATGATGAACAAGAGCATGCAACATTTCTTTCTCTCCTTTATTAGATCTTTTTCATCCTTTTGTAAAAAAGCAAATTTGGCATACAGATACATTCACTTGTCACAGTATATGTGTTGCTCATCTTTTTAAGTGCCAGACAGTTCCAAACCGTTGTAGGTCTTATGAATATAACTTTTTATGAAATCATATAGATGCTGTCTTGGAACTTTTTAATTGAGTCATATTATTTCTATACATAAAATGTTTTACAATAACTAAAGCCCAGAAAAAAAGTATTTAAGGCCCAAAATAAAGTTGCCTAGATAAAAAACAGAAACAAGAGAAACAGCACTAGCATGCATGCACATTTGTCAATAAGCTTCCAATACTTTGAAGGAGGAGAATGGCTTGACAAAGTGGTAGTCGAGGTTCCCACAGTGGGGGCACTGCTGCACATTGCTGTACTCTGAGAAGTACTGCATCCCCACCCTGACATCTATGACTGGCTTGCCACAGTGCTTGCAGTTCAGACGGGCCTAAGGGTACAAATAGAGGAAATGGCTAAGGATCTGCAGTTGTTGACTTTGCCATGCATAATGTCAATGAGACGATTTGATAAGAAGAGATCTAGCCACAACACAAAACCTGATTTTTTAACTGACTTTGCCCCATGAAGTTACTGTATGGCAGCCTGCCATATTTAAATGACACCCCTGGACCATCTGGAGGCTAACTCAAATATGACTTTCAAACTCCTCATGAGAAAAAAAGATATATTGATAAATACTAATAGCCTACTCACCTGACAACATGGTGTGGCGGCCAGTATATCATAGGTGTACATCGTCCCCAACTGGTGCCAGCTCCCATCCCACCTGGACTTGCACTTGATACAGACAATTTTGTGGACTCCCTCCAGACAGTCGACACAGATTGCATACAGATGCATCAGCCTCCCTTTACAAGAGAGACAATAGGGTTGTTTAATAGATTCCACAAATAATCCCTAAAGCGTGAAAAATAATCATGCATTACAAAGCCTGAAGATCAAAGCAACAGCATTCATCCACTGATTTAATTATTATCCATGTGGTGAATAGCTACTAAAAAGCTGTTTGTGGAAAACAGTATAGATTGACTTGATTGATATGTATGACATGCTTGATCACATTCATGTGCCATAATAATTTTGTTTAGTTCTCAATGAAAGTAATGAATTCTATTGTGCCAGGTTTATTATGGTGTGTTCTTATCTCAAATATATGCAAGGGATAACACCCTTGCAGACCAGAATAACAATTATGAAAATTCACAACCAAACAAGTTATTCTGAAACTACACTAAAATATGCATATCTGGAAACAGCTGTGGTCCAAATCATTTGCTTGGGGCCTGATCAGCTGTCAACAGTAAACCTGAACTTTTCACTGTACACATTTCTTCTACCACAGCAGGAACCAGCATATGGGTGTCAACCGGTGGGTTGTCAGTTCAAATCCCGGGTCCGACGGGGAAAATCTGTCAAATCCTAGATGACATTGCCTGCCGTTGTGCCCTTGAGCAAGGCACTTAACAACAACAGCTCTTGGGGGCCCAGTGCGGCAGCACCTCTCCAAAACCTTTATGTACAGTCGTGGTCAAAAGTTTTGAGAATGACACAAATACTAATTTTCACAAAGTCTGCTGCCTCAGTTTATATGATGGCAATTTGCATATACTTCAGAATGTCATGAAGAGTGATCAGATGAATTGCAAAGTCCCTCTGTGCCATGAAAATGAACTTAATCCCCAAAAAACATTTCCACTGGATTTCAGCCTTGCCACAAAAGGACCAGCTGCCATCTTGTCAGTGAATCTCTCGTTAACACAGGTGAGAGTGTTGACGAGGACAAGGCTGGAGATCACTCTGTCATGCTGATTGAGTTAGAATAACAGACTGGAAGCTTTAAAAGGAGGGTGGTGCTTGAAAACATTGTTCTTTCTCTGTTAACCATGGTTACCTGCAAGGAAACACGTGCCATCATCATTGCTTTGCACAAAACGGGCTTCACAGGCAAGGATATTGCTGCTAGTAAGATTGCACCTAAATCAACCATTTATCGGATCATCAAGAACTTCAAGGAGCGAGGTTCAATTGTTGTGAAGAAGGCGTCAGGACGCCCAAGAAAGTCCAGCAAGCGCCAGGACCGTCTCCTAAAGTTGATTCAGCTGCGGGATCGGGGCACCACCAGTGCAGAGCTTGCTCAGGAATGGCAGCAGGCAGGTGTGAGTGCACCTGCACGCACATTGAGGCAAAGACTTTTGGAGGATGGCCTGGTGTCAAGAAGGGCATCAAAGAAGCCACTTCTCTCCAGGAAAAACATCAGGGACAAACTGATATTCTGCAAAAGGTACAGGGATTGGACTCACACCTGCCTGTTGACTAGGGTAAAGTCATTTTCTCTGATGAATCCCCTTTCCGATTGTTTGGGGCATCCGGAAAACACCTTGTCCGGAGAAGACAAGGTGAGCGCTACCATCAGTCCTGTGTCATCCCAACAGTAAAGCATCCTGAGACCTTTCATGTGTGGGGTTGCTTCTCAGCCAAGGGAGTGGGCTCACTCACAATTTTGCCTAAGAACACAGCCATGAATAAAGAATGGTACCAACACATCCTCCGAGAGCAACTTCTCCCAACCATCCAAGAACAGTTTGGTGACGACCAATGCCTTTTCCAGCATGATGGAGCACCTTGCCATAAGGCAAAAGTGACTAAGTGGCTCGGGGAACAAAACATCAACATTTTGGGTCCATGGCCAGGAAACTCCCCAGACCTTAATCCCATTGAGAACTTGTGGTCGATCCTCAAGAGGCGGGTGGACAAACAAAAACCCACAAATTCTGACAAACTCCAAGCATTGATTATGCAAGAATGGGCTGCCATCTGTCAGGATGTGGCCCAGAAGTTAATTGACAGCATGCCAGGGTGGATTGCAGAGGTCTTGAAAAAGAAGGGTCAACACTGCAAATATTGACCCTTTGCATAAACGTAATGTTATTGTCAATAAAAGCCTTTGACACTTATGGAATGCTTGTAATTATACTTCAGTATACCATAGTAACATCTGACAAAAATATCTCATAACACTGAAGCAGCGAACTTTGCGAAGACCAATACTTGTGTCATTCTCAAAACCTTTGACCACGACTGTATGCATACGTGTCTTTCTGGAGGGTTGCGTTCAAAGTGAAAGTCAAATTTCAGATGGAACATGTGTGCAATTGACCAATAAAGTGATCTTTCTCTTAAACTCGGGTTCAAGACAATCATTCAAACATTTTAAATTACAGGTCAATTGAGATTGTTTGTTGGAAAATACACTACCGGTCCAAAGTTTTAGAACACCTACTCAAGGGTTTTTCTTTATTTTTACTATTTTCTACATTGTAGAATAATAGTGAAGACATCAAAACTATGGAATAACCCATATGGAATCATGTAGTAACCAAAAAAGTGTTAAAAAAATCAAAATATATTTTATATTTGAGATTCTTCAAATAGCCACCCTTTGCCTTGATGACAGCTTTGCACACTCTTGGCATTCTCTCAACCAGCTTCACCTGGAATGCTTTTCCAACAGTCTTGAAGGAGTTCCCACATATGCTGAGCACTTCCCACATACGCTGCTTTTCCTTCACTCTGCGGTCCGACTCATCCCAAACCATCTCAATTTGGTTGAGGTCGGGGGATTGTGGAGGCCAGGTCACCAGGCACTCCATCACTCTCCTTTTTGGTAAAATAGCCCTTACACAGCCTGGAGGTATGTTGGGTCACTGTCCTGTTGAAAAACAAATGATAGTCCCACTAAGCCAAAACCAGATGGGATGGCGTATTGCTGCAGAATGCTGTGGTAGCCATGCTGGGTAAGTGTGCCTTGAATTCTAAATAAATCACAGACAGTGTCACCAGCAAAGCACCCCCACACCATAACAGCTCCTCCTCCATGCTTTACGGTGGGAAATACACATGCGGAGATCATCCGTTCACCCACACCGTGTCTCAAAAAGACATGGCAGTTGGAACCAAAAATCTACAATTTGGACACCAGACCAAAATACATATTTCCACCGTCCTAATGTCCATTGCTTGTGTTTCTTGGCCCAAGCAAGTCTCTTCTTATTATTAGTGTCCTTTAGTAGTGGTTTCTTTGCAGCAATTCGACCATGAAGGCCTGATTCACACAGTCTCCTCTGAACAGTTCATGTTGAGATGTGACTGTTACTTGAACTCTGTGAAGCATTTATTTGGGCAGCAATTTCTGAGGCTGGTAACTCTAATGAACTTATCCTCTGCAGCAGAGGTAACTCTGGGTCTTCCATTCCTGTGGCGGTCCTCATGAGAGACAGTTTCATCATAGCGCTTGATAGTTTTTGCGACTGCACTTGAAGAAATGTTCAAAGTTCTTGAAATGTTCCGTATTGACTGACCTTCATGTCTTAAAGTAATGATGGACTGTCATTTCTCTTTGCTTATTTGAGCTGTTCTTGCCATAATATGGACTTGGTCTTTTACCAAATAGTGCTATCGTCTGTATACCCACAAATTAACTTTTGACAAGGCACACCTGTTAATTGAAATGCATTCCAGGTGACTACTTCATGAAACTGGTTGAGAGAATGCCAAGAGTGTGCAAAGCTGTCATCAAGGCAAAGGGTGGCTATTTGAAGAATCTCAAATCTAAAATATATTTTGATTTGTTTAACACTTTTTTGGTTACTACATGATTCCATATGTGTTATTTCATAGTTTTGATGTCTTCGCTATTTTTCTACAATGTAGAAAATAGTAAAAATAAAGAAAAACCCTTGAATGAGTAGGCGTTCTAAAACTTTTGACCGGTAGTGTATAAAATATTTTAAAAGAATGATGTAATTTCCAGTTTGCAATATTTGAGTTTGTAGCCAATCACAACATACAGATTATGCATGTGCAATGGTTACGGCTGTCTGCTGGTTTTGATAGCATAAGTGTTTCAAAGTCTGTTTCTCAGAGATAGACATTGTTCCAAAGACCTACCTTGCAGATGGCACGGTACATCGTACTCGATCTCATCGTGTCTGGAGGGGCTCAGGAACAGGGTCCCGTCCACCAGAGGGAACTGCTCAAAGACAGGCAGGGTGCGGTGGCACAGGGCACAGTTGACCATGTTCCTGTGGCTGGCGCTCAGAGCCGACAGGATGAATCTCCTCAGGTCCTCTCCCTGGCCCGCCTGGGCGTCATCCTCCATACGGACATGGTAGGTGTTCAGCTTGTGTCTGGGTATGTGGGTCAGCAGCTCTGTGAGGTCCAGCCTCCGCAAGAACTGCACTGGGTTGTCCCCCGTGGTGAGTCTGGGCAGGGGCAGGATGGTGTGATCCAGGTGGCCTCCGCGACCCAGCATGCCGCTTGCCAGCATGTGCTTCCGGTGGCTCTCCATGTGCACCGCATTCTTCAGGAATTCCCCCAGGTGACGGGAGCTGCGGGGCCCTGTGAAGGTGGGTGGGGAGAAGAAGGAGAAGCCTGTCGGAGGGGACTGACCCGGGGAGTCACAGGGTGAGCGGGGCCCCAGGCTGCTTCCACAGAATAGGCCTCCGTGACCCCTCTCCTGAGAGTTCTGCCGATCCACTGACTGTCGGCGAGGCAGCTCCTGACTGGATGCTCTGTGAGACAGTTTACTGCCCCCAGGCAGCTTGCCCCTCTTAGGATCATCAGGGGGATCCAGCCCGCCTCCACATGCACCTCCTCCAGCTGCAGCTGAGCTGCTCAACTTCCCCAGGCTCTTCTCCAGAGGCACCTTCTTCTTCACCTCTGCCATGCGCTTCACCTGGTACCAGTCCGTGTCTTTCTTAAGGTGGCCCTGGCCACAGCGGCAAGAGCAGAAGCGGAAGGCCAGGTCATATCCCTTCTTAGTCCACATGTTCTGCCGGCACTGCTTCTCGTTCCAGCTGCGGGCCCTTCCAATGCAGTTGAACTGGACCAGGATGCTGCTCTCCCACTCGTAGAAGCACTGCAAGTGCATCCAGTTGCCATAGGGGCAGCTATCACTGTTACACACCACACGTTGATAGTCATCCTTCTCAAGGTCAATGTCTCTGGCCAGACTGCACACAAGAGGGGTAGCACAGGGGGCCTCTGCAGCACACACAACAAAACAGAGTTACTATATCACTCATAAACATATTATAACATCTCCATACAAAATATGACTTGAAAATAAAAACAAACGTGCTTTGCGGCACAAAATTCACTTTGGACATATTACAGAGCAACAAAACGACATTAATCAGAATAGATTTTTGTTCATGCTAAAAGGACTAACTCCTTGGACTGCAATGTTGACAATATTCCATGCCGTTACTGAACAATTCAGGACTGAAACATCAATGCACAGCCTGTCTGGGACTTAACTTTAAACAGTAATGGATTGTGTGAACATTCAATAATAAGAAGAAGACTAATGAGATCTGTCTTATCTTGCAACATAAGAGCCATCATCATTGAGCATGGATCACTGAGAAGGGTGCCTGAATACCCATCAGACAGGGAAACCCTCAGTGCAGCCAAGTGAGTGGGTAAGTAGTCCATTTTATGAAAATATGACCTTCAACGATTCAAAGGAGACCTTAAAAAAAGCAATTAAAGAAGCACTAGACTTGAATCCTAATGTATCTATGGGGAGCCCTGTTTTTGCTGCTTGTGATGTAACCCTGATTTGATTTGTGTCTGTCTCTGTGTCTCTGTGTGTGTGTGTGTGTGTGTGTGCGTGTAGGATAATAGTGAAGACATCAAAACTATGAAATAACACATATATATATATTTTCTATTTGAGATTCTTCAAATAGCCACTTTTTGCCTTGATGACAGCGTTGCACACTCTTGGCATTCTCTCAACCAGCTTCACGTGGAATGCTTTTCCAACAGTCTTGAAGGAGTTCCCACATATGCTGAGCACTTGTTGGCTGCTTTTCCTTCACTCTGCGGTCCGACTCATCCCAAATGATCTCAATTTGGTTGAGGTCGGGGGATTGTGGAGGCCAGGTCATCTGATGCAGCACTCCATCACTCTCCTTCTTGGTAAAATAGCCCTTACACAGCCTGGAGGTGTGTTGGGCCATTGTCCTGTTGAAAAACTAATGATAGTCCCACTAAGCCCAAACCAGATGGGATGGTGTATCGCTGCAGAATGCTGTGGTAGCCATGCTGGTTAAGTGTGCCTTGAATTCTAAATAAATCACAGACAGTGTCACCAGCAAAGCACCCTCACACCATAACACCTCCTCCTCCATGCATTACAGTGGAACTGCACATGCAGAGATAATCCTTTCACCCACACCGCGTCTCACAAAGACACGTGGTTGGAACCAAAAATCTCAAATTTGGACTCCAGACCAAAGGACAAATTTCCACCGGTCTAATGTCCATTGCTCATGTTTCTTGGCCTAAACCGGTTTCTTCTTCTTATTGCTGTCCTTTAGTAGTGGTTTCTTTGCAGCAATTCAACCATGAAGGCCTGATTCACACAGTCCCCTCTGAACAGTTGATGTTGAGATGTGTCTGTGTCTTGAACTCTGTGAAGCATTTATTTGGGCTGCAATTTCTGAGGCTTGTAACTCTAATGAACTTATCCTCTGCAGCAGAGGTAACTTTGGGTCTTCCATTCCAGTGGCGGTCCTCTTGAGAGCCAGTTTCATCATAGCGCTTGATGGTTTTTGCAACTGCCCTTGAAGAAACTTTCAAAGTTCTTGAAATGTTCCGTATTGACTGACCTTCATGTCTTAAAGTAATGATGGACTGTGGTTTCTCTTTGCTTATTTGAGCTGTTCTTGCCATAACATGGACTTGGCTTTTACCAAATAGTGCTATCTTCTGTATACCCCCCTCCCTACCATGTCACAACACTACTGATTGGCTCAAACACATTAAGAAGGAAAGAAATTCCACAAATTAACTTTTAAGAAGGCACACCTGTTAATTGAAATGCATTCCAGGTGACTACCTCATGAAGCTGGTTGAGAGAATGACAAGAGTGTGCAAAGCTGTCATCAAGGCAAAGGGTGGCTATTTGAAGAATCTCAAATATAAAATATATTTTGATTTGTTTAACACTTTTTTGGTTACTACATGATTCCATATGTGTTATTTCATAGTTTTGATGTCTTCACTATTATTCTACAATGTAAAAAATTGTTTAAAAAAATAAACATTTTTGAATGAGTAGGTGTCCAAACTTTTGACTGGTAGTGTTGTAAGCGCGAGTGCGTGCGTGCCTGCATGCGGGTATGGTAGATGAGTTTCCTCCTTTCATTTCCTGTACTTCACTGTCATCTCTCAGGCCTCATGGTTTCTAGACAGTGTATCAGAAACAATCCCATGCATGCACTGTAATGTGCTGTGCCTAACTATACCTCCATCAAAACTCAGTTCAGTTAAGAAGAAAATGAAATAAGAAGAACATGACCAGTCTATGCCTCTCCAAAAAGATATGAGTCACCAACTTCAGGCTGCCAGGGTGATTCAAACATAAACCTGAGGCTCTGTGCAATGAATTCCATCATTGTTCAGCCATGTGCTTACCCCATCACATTTTATTAACTGGTAATATTTTGTTTATATAAAGCCTACCTGAATATTTATTACATGACAAATGATGTTTCATTCAGATAGTAAGTTAGGCCTAGTATAACTTTGATGCCAACTATAATGTATATGCAGCCTATATGCACAGCCTAATGATGTTGTTTTTTGTTGCTTTATCTGACTCAAGACACAGACGAGACAATACCGAAAATGTATCAAATTAAGTTGAACTTGAGCAGGCAAGCGGTGAGGTGCCAGCACTACCCTTGAACAAGGCCACAACTGAAACTGTACATGTGTGCGTCGTGATATGACAGTGCATAGACCTCCATGTCGACGCATCATTAAATGATCAATGCATAATGCTCGTTGGCAATTACACTATAACGATTGAGTTATGAAGCCTACAGTCGATAACAATAAAATGTGAAGCAACGTAAAGCTTACGTCGTCTCACAGGCAACAATACAATCAAATCCATTGCAATAACTTCGGTCACGCATGTTTTGACACAATTTCACTCTTACCACTTCTATGTTCGTTGAACGGTGCAGCTGTAGCCCCCAATAATGTTGTTGTTGTTACCCCTGGTGCTCCTCCTGTTGCGGCAGCACTGGCTCCATTTTCTTGTTCATCTCCACTACTATTAGTCCTTTTATTTCTCTTCCCCTTGTTGCTTTTCTGGTTGGGCATTTTACAGATCCTGATATTAATAATTTCAACCCATCAACGACTGTCTGACATTTCTGCGGATTCCATTTGAATCCTACTTGAGAGATGCAATGATTCTCTCTTCTTGATTGCAGGTGGTACTGTTTACAGCTATATTATCTCCATCCAGATTTATGCAGTTGTGACAGCAAAGGTAACCTACGAAGGTGTGTCCGTTTCTTGTTTTGATTCCTGCTCTGAACGTAGATCCGTCAGGAGCTGTTCTGTTTTCCTCCTGCCGCCATGACGAAAAACGGCTCCGCCCCCCGAACCTTGCTGTAAATTATTATTCGATTTAGCAAGGGAGTCCCAAGTAAACGGTCCTGGTAGGAAGGGGAATATAAAGTAATATCTCAGGTTCAAGTCAATGCTTTCTCTGGGTTATCTGAGGCTACAGTTGCAGTCATAACCTTCTATGGCATTGCCAACTATTGAATGATTACTTCTAAAAGTGCAGTCATCAGTGCAGACTTATTAGGCTGGTAGTCATATAGCCTACTGTCCTTTTCACAATAATACGTTCACATTTTCTTCAATAATACAGTAAAGTCAGAGTGCAACGTTAAATAGCATAGCATAAGGATACAATATATACAGTACATTCAGAAACAATTTTCCACATTTTGTTATGTTACAGCCTTATTCTAGAATTGATTAAATAAAACAATTTTCCTCATCAATCTACACACAATACCCCATAATGACAAAGCGATGTTTGCACATTTATTAAAACTAATAAGCAGAAATACCTTATTTACAAAAGTATTTAGACCCTTTGCTATGAGACTCGAAATTGAGCTTTCCATTGTTCATCCTTTAGATGTTTCTACAACTTGATTGGAGTCCACCTTTGATAAATTCAATTGATTGGACATGATTTGGAAAGGCACACACCTGTCTATATAAGGTCCCACAGTTGACAGTGCAGGTCAGAGCAAAAGCCATGAGGTCGAAGGAATTGTCCGTAGAGCTCTGAGACAGGATTGTGTCGAGGCACAGATCTGGGGAAGGGTACAAAAAAATGTCTGCAGCATTGAAGGTCCCCAAGAACACAGTGGCCTCCATCATTCTTAAATGGAAGAAGTTTCGAACCACCCAGGCTCTTCCTAGAGCTGGATGCTCGGCCAAACTGAGCAATCGGGGGAGAAGGGCCTTGGTCAGGGAGGTGACCAAGAACCCGATGGTCGCTCTGACAGAGCACCAGGGTTCCTCTGTGGAGATGGGAGAACCTTACAGAAGGATAACAATCTCTGCAGCACTCCACCAATCAGGCCTTTATGGTAGAGTGGCCAGACGGAAGCCACTCCTCAGTAAAAGGCACATGACAGCCCGCTTGGAGTTTGCCAAAAGGCACCTAAAGACTCTCAGACCATGAGAAACAAGATTCTCTGGTATGATGAAACCATGATTGAACTCTTTGGCCTGAATGCCAAGCGTCACTTCTGGAGGTAACCTCGCACCATCCTTACGGTGAAGCCTGGTGGTGGCAGTATCATGCTGTGGGGATGTTTTTCAGCGGCAGGGACTGGGAGACTAGTCAAGCTCGAGGGAAAGATGAACGGAGCAAAGTACAGAGAGATCCTTGATGAAAACCTGCTCCAGAGCACCCAGGACCTCAGACTGTGGCGAAGGTTCACCTTCCAAAAGGACAACGACCCTAAGCACACAGCCAAGACAACGCAGGAGTGGCTTCGGGACAAGTCTCTGAATGTCCCAGCCAGAGTCCAGACTTGAACCCGATCGAACATCTCTGGAGAGACCTGAAAATAGCTGTGCAGCGACGCTCCCCATCCAACCTGACAGAGCTTGAGAGGATCTGCAGAGAAGAATGGGAGAAACTCCCCAAATACAGGTGTGCCAAGCTTGTAGCGTCATACCCAAGAAGACTCGAGGCTGTAATCGCTGCCACAGGTGCTTCTACAAAGTACTGAGTAAAGGGTCTGAATACCTATGTAAAACCTGTTTTTGCCTTGTCATTATTGGGTATTGTGTGTAGATTGATGGGGGGGGGGGACAATTCGATCCATTTTAGAATAAGGCTGTAACGTAACAAAATGTGGAAGAAGTCAAGGGATCTGAATACTTTCCGAATGCACTGTATACATTACCATTCTGTTAAATGGGGCCTATAGATCATAAAAATAAAATCAGGCTGCAAAGTGAAGGTTTGTTTTTTATTAACAGAGTATTTCACCGTCCTCAGAACCCCCATTGCTTTCTTAGGAATATATTATTGCCAATATAAGTCAATAATTTGGAAATTATTGGACTTTGGAAAGGAACTGCACTTTGATCAAGTTTGATGATCATACATGCATTGTATTAGATCAGAGAAAAAAATTGTGCTAAATTTTTCATATGTTTCTTTTTTCTTGATAAACCATTTTTTTGAAGAGTTACTATTGCTTCCCATGTCAAGTTCCAAATGTATTTCCTACCAGGACACAATACTAAACATTGTGTCTCCTCTTTGAACAGTAACACCATGCATGATAAGCCTTTATTCACAGTTCATGGTGACCCACACATCATTTGATGATAGAATCTTATTCATCATATGGGGCACATCAAGTAAGCCACAACATACATGTTGCAGATATAGAAATGTGATCTACAACTCCCTATCCTGTAAAATAGAGAACATCTTATACATAATTTCTATCTACAACATAATGTACATTGAGTACATTATCAATGTCTCTTATTAGAAGGACTATGCTATGATTGCATAATATACAACACAGTATCTGGAATGAGGCAAACTTGTATTCTAAATAAGGAGTCTAATTTCAAAGGTCAGTTTAACACATTTGGTCCTGAGGAACATTACAAAACCACATTTTTATTTGGCACAAATCACCCTGTAATTAAATACTGCTAAGAATTACACAGGAAATCCATTGGCTTAATCCCCCTTGGTTATAGCAAAGGCAAAGGTTTGTGAGTGGTCGATCGAGAAAAGAGTCTTGCAAACATATAAAAGCGTGAATATTACATACTCAAATGCTTAACGTTAGCATGAATACAAAATCAATATGTGCAAAAGCTTCTCTTGAAGCGTTGCCATCTTAGTTGTTCACAAGAGGTAGCAAAATGCCCATGTAAACAATAAATGAAGTTGCCATTTGGTGATTCCTGTTACTGTAAGGTAATTTGTTTCCTAAAAAGTCTAGGTGTATTTCGTCCCCTAGAATATACTCCTTATGACAAGAACAATATTTTCCTAATGTGATATACAAAATGTTACATTCTCAGCCTGTACATTTGTAGTCCTAAAAATGTATCAAAATGTTGATTTGTGATCCCTGGTTGGTAGATGAAATAGTAACGCCTCAAAGAAACTCTTGACTTAACATCTGAATAATGATAGCCATCAGCTTCATTCTTGTAGGAGTGTGATGTCAACATTGTCATGGACACCTTGCAGGAGAAGCTCCCCTTCAAATGCGATGATCTTCTTCCTCTTGGCAGCCCTCAGAGTCCCAACCAAAGCCTCAAAGATATTGGCACACCTATCGTCATTGAACAGGACACCAAATTTGACACATGTTTGTCCATCTGCATCTGTAAAACAAGGCAAGATCGTTTGAGAAGCAAGGTAGTATTAAGCGAATCCTGTATTCCTTCTGTAAGAAGATTTTTTTTTACTTTCCTGAAACGCCTGTGAATGTCTATCACATATATGTTTAGTGTTTCCTCTAGCACTGCACGGTATTGGCAGAGGATCACACTGAAACTAGCCACTCCAAAATAGGCTGTAACAGCTGAGGAGCAAATAAGGGGGAAGCATGGCTCTGTAAACAAACATTAAAGCCAGGAGATTTTCAACAGCAGGAGAGAGCATGTGGTAGTGGAGCTAATATGAGGTGGTTATTTGGAAAAGTCTGAGATTAGTTCACAAACAAGTTGCTCCACTGCCTGAGGATAAAGATAGTGTCCAAATGAAGACAAAACAGGCTTACTTACATTGCACCAATTAATTATAGATCTCATTAATTGCATTATGGTGCTGGGAATCCACATGGTGTGCAGACTTTGGTTCCACCCCAGTGCTAATGAATTCAACTATCCACCAGGCCCTTGAACCAGGGGCACATTCAGCAGGACACAACATTTTGGATAGAAATGTCATATAGAACAAACATGCCTCTCCGACATGTAGACCATATTGGCTCCATTCATGGCATTTCTATCTGCAACGTTCGTGTGTTGGAACTAGTGCTGAGCGTTTTGTGCTTTTTGAGGTCGGTTCGGTTCCAAAAACATTATCACGGATTTTGATTACAAATAAAAAAAATACATTATGAAATACTGACATTAAAATGATAAAAGCTTTTTAATGGAAATGCCAAAGCCAAAAATAGTGAACATTAAATTACCAAAACAATGAAAATATTCCATTGTCTCCGTCAGCTCCACATAGAATAGGAAATTACTATTAGATAATAAAATATTCATGTTGTGTATATTACTAAGTTTTATTTGATGGCTTTATAATTGTTCATTCCTTAAAGTCATCATCTCAGGCAGCAGCCAGCCAACCATTAACATTATCTCTGTTCTCCCCATACTGTAGGCTACGGTCTTTAGTCATCCCATTTAGCTAGGCTAGCCTGCCTAAGTATGCTGCAGAGCTGTCTGAAGAAATCATTTGACTAGTTCTTCAAAGTAGATAAGGCATAATTTCACGAACTCTATCCCTCTCTTGTCTTTGTGTTGTTTACATTCCTCTCTCATGCGGCAGCGTATGCGGTCTGTGTGTTTCTAACCTAACGTAGCAGGCATAAAAGTGTATCCATCTGTGTCCGAGCCGGTAAAGAACAGGTTAATTACCACTTTTCTGCGCTGAACTATACTGAACAAAAATATAAGACGCAACATGTAAAGTGTTGGTCCCACGTTTCATGAGCTGAAATAAAAGATCTCAAAAAAAGCTTATTTCTCACATTTTGTGCACAAATTTGTTTACATCCCTGTTAGCG